TGTTATAATTGTATCTCGCTCAAAGGGCGAGAGGTGGAAACATTGGTATGTAAAAATAAAATACCATGTCAACACAATACCATACGTAATTTAAAAATACCACTACTTCAAGATCTTATCGCCAAAAAAAAAACAAATATTAAACTGTTACAGCACACGCTGGGACATATTCTTTTGATGGGTATAGACTGAACTTGCAGAAGTACCTCGACCATATTGAACGTGGTGGAAACTAACTGAATTTATACCAGCGGTATTAGGTATTACTTCCAAACTTAAAGATAAAGAAGTGTACGGACGAGGGTTAAATAAACATTAAAAACAAAAAAAAAACACTCAATTTCAAGATACGGTGATCTTAGGTTAGGTATCGAATTATTCTTCTCTTTTAATAAGAGAGGTATTGAATTCAATAGTGATTACATAGAAAAATTTAAAGATAAGATTTTATATTGACCTAAATGGAATTCTAACACAAAAATATAATAATGTAAAGCACCATTAATTTAATAATATGATTATTTCTGTTATAGCTCACTGTAATTTGTTCTTAAGGTTACACACCATAAAAAAAAGAAGATATATTTTATTTTATTTAAAACACCTACAGCACTGGCCAACATCTAGGGATTTTTACTATTATTTTCACCAATCGCTGTCATGACGTTTTGATCACGTGGGTTTCGGGTATTGTTGAAGACCCTGTATGTAAAGATAAAACGCTGTTGATTTGCTGCAGTTGGCCCGGTAGTGACCAGAGTGCTTTCTCTCTTGTTATGGTCATGGTATGGTACGCTATAGTGAGCAGAGACTTTAATCCTTTGCTAAAATATGGGCTGTTGAGTAGAGGAATTTCCCAATTGGTACAACCAGCTAAGCATCACATTTTGAAACGTTAACCACTTAACTTTAATCATCCATTAGTTATGATAAAATCAGCAATTAAAGAAGTATTTGTTAGCCTCCATAACTTCGCAAGGGAAGAATATTAGTAATAATAATATGGTTTTGGCTATACAATTGATATAAAAATATTCATAAGGTAATAATTATTGATAAACATTTACACTTCGGTAAATTACTATCAGTTTTACTATTTTTATAAAAATTTATCATCAAACGGCAATCGGTAACATAGATAACAAAAGTGACGGCAAATCTTAAAAAAAGGATTGAAAGAAAATTGAAAGATTCCCTTTGCAAGCTCTACTAATATTACCGAGTACGAAATGTGTTTACAAAGAGCCTGTAGTCGGTCCTAGTGAAATTCAGCATAGCAGCAGGGCTACTGAAAATTTTACGATATGCAAAAAAGTGATACTGATACCTCTACGAGCTCAGATACAAATACTGACGAAAATTTTTTATTTGAAAAGCGACCAAAACCAAAGAAGCGAAATAGTATATCTTAAATGAGGCATTCGGTGTTAATACCTTAAAAGACGTAGACCTGGCAGGTGTCTCCAGTCGCACTGCAGCCAAAACTGCCAGTGCTGTTTTAGAAGCTCATTACGACGATATAGTAAAAGTCATCGACTAGAACAATATTCGACAAAAATTAAATAAAAATAGACTACGGCTGCAAAAAGTGGAAACTAAAAGGAACGTTTTTATCAATAATAATAAAATGAAGGCACACATTGCGCCCTAGTCGAAGAACCCAAAAGTTTATATTTGACCCACATGAAAAACCGAGGTGTACAATTAATGCAATTGAAGGTTTTTGGAAGCGATGGAACGATTGTCAATACAGGTTGGAAAGGTGGAGTCATTCGACAGTTGAAAAATCAATTAGGTAGATCGCTTCAATGGAGTATACGCCTTTTACATGCAAATGAGCTACCATTAAGGCATTTACTGCTAAAAGTAGATGGTGGCACCAAGGGCCCATGCAATTACTCAGGACCAATTGTTTCCCTTCTACATGCTTGTGAGAAAATGCCCGTAGTTCAATTTAAACCAATTTAAACAGTAGTGTCAGGGATAAATGAAAATTATCTAAGTACCGATCAACAATACTTATTTAAAATGTGTAAAGCAATTGGGAAAGGAATATGTTCAACAAGTTTATCAGAACAATCCTAAATCCATCAGAAACTTTCCAGATTCTTGGTCCATTTGTAGTACAGATATGCCCTCGAATGTGGTTTGAAATAAAAACTCAACCATAGTTGCAAAATAAAGCTTAACATTGGTAGAACATGATTAAAGTATCCAGAAAACTCTGGACCACATAAAAGTTATTATAAATTAACAGCCTATTTTGCACATCCCGAAAATATCTTGATGGCAATGTTGACCGATACACGGAAGCATATTAGGGAATTAGCTGTCAAAAGAGTCCTTAAGAACTCGAGGTGCAGCCAGATCCTCGTGGTAAGTTCTCGGTTGATTTAATATTCAACCAAATATGAATAAATATTAAATTACATATTTTCATATTTCTTAATTTGAATATTGAAGAACTGCACAAAATTTTAGAATTTTTATAAATTATTTTTTTTTCTGACAGGAGCGGGGCTGGACGAAATATTTTATATAAACCTTATTAAGGCAGTAAATAATCACTTAAGCACTAGCCTTGGTAGATTTTAGAATTTTGTTTGAGCCCCAAGAGGACCAGCTACAATTTTTTTTTATTTCGTTTTTGTTATAAAACAGTCACAACTTTTCCCAAATAGCCCAACTTAAATTTCGGCCCACCCTAACCCGCTATTCATATATATTTTTGTCAAACAAGTTCCTTAGTGCGTTCCTAATATAAATATTGAAAGAAAATAATTAGATATATTGGATAATTGAGTCTCATATTTCGTAATTTTAATTCTAAAGTAATCAAATCTTTCTTCTAGGCCTGCGCAAGCCATAAAGTGCACTTTATGCATGCACGTGCATAAAGTACGCTATTATATGATTAAATATACAATAATAAACTGTATTTTGTATTGGCACTAGCTATTCTTGCACCTATATTTAAGCAATTTTCTATTAAACTATCTATTTTTGTCACTTTAAAAAAACTACATTACGGAACATTTGCACTTGTCCAAATTTTTATACTATTTAAATTTTAATAATAAAAAAATAATATTCATTTTAAACTCATTGTACTCGAAGGCATTGTGGAAATTCATAGGCACATAAAATTTATAATGAATGCTAAAATGTGTTATAAAGGGCATATAAATTTTATTGATTCATCAAAATCATTACCCTCGAGGAACTACCCTTGCCGTCCTAATCAAACAAGTAAGGGGGAGGTAAATTACATTTCATGCATGTAAAGTTTCGGCGAATACCTCAGCAAATTTCATTACGACTAATTGTATTTCGCTTTACAAAGAAATTAAATTTTTATTCTCTTGACATTGTGTGCTATGTTTTTGTTTAGTTTTTATTTTAAAATGCTGCTTTTGAAAAACTCCTCTTCTACTATTCTTTTATAATATTAAATGGAGGGAAAATATGTCTACTTTAATTCAGGCGTCTAATATCAAATGTAGCAAAGTCAACTTTTCTAAATTTTCCACTACACAACAAAAACTATTTAAAAAATATTAGGACGTTACATAAAATTACTGTTTTGGCTTTTAAGTGTGTAAATAAATTATTTTATGTAAATTGCAGTCAAATTCTCCGTAGAATTTTATTAAATACAAATACAGTTCTGGTCACTAATAAATACTGTGATTAACAGAAACTAAAAACAAATATTTTTCATATTGCAATAAATAATGTGTCCATGAGCGCCGATCAAAAAATTGCTGGGGGGGCAAGTCTTATAGGCAAGTTCAAAGTTGTGCAGGCTATAGACGAAAGCCATAGCGAAGAATCCAAAATCAGAAATCAAGGGCGCTTGCCCTCGTGTGGCGGTGCCTATGAATGTGACTCTTAAAGTTGACCACAAATGAGAAACTTTTTAGAATATAGATTTACTAATTGCGGTCCTGGAAAAATGTTACTTATCTCAATCATTTTGCCTTATTTGCTCTCCAAATTTTGGCATTTCTAACACACTTTCTTGCGTGTTTTTTATCTACACGAGGACAAGAAACCTCCATTTTATGAATTTTCACTAACCAATTCTTAATATTTTGTTATTATATACTGAAAAACAGTAATTAACTATGCACGTGTTGTTACAAACCGACTACAGCTACCATACTGATTTAACTATTTTAAAAAATCTTATACAAAGAGGTTTATGAGTCCCTTACTGTTGCATTACGCCACTTCCAAAAGTTATTTAACAATTTGTTTAAAAAATATGTATATTAAACTAGTTAAAAAGTACAATGTTTTGGGAAATAATCATTTATTTCACCTGCTGTAACACAACAATTGAGGTTTTTTGGACATATGTTATTTAAATAAACCCTGCTTATTTCTTAGCGTACTATCAGCCACAAGTTTCATGACTAGTTAAGTTTAAATGTTGTAATTACAGGCTGGATCACGTGCTACGAGGTGCGTAGCTACTTAGGAGAATGCACAATGGACCTAGAAGGCCTAAGCGCCACCCTCTACACGTCACACGGATACTCGTAACTGGTTCCAGTTCGTTTGGTGTATATTTTCATGTTCTTTTTCATGAAAGTCTTTCCCACATTCTTTAATAACTTAGAACTTTGAACACCAACTAATACAATACTCTGTGGCCCTTTTATTATTTCAAGTGCTGTCTAGCAGTCTGTCAGGAGGTTAATCTTGTTGTTTCATAAAACCTCACATTCCTCATTTATTCTAGAACATCTCTGCTTAACAACTAAAAATCTTTGTAATAAGAGAAGTTATGGAATTGTTGTTTCCTAACATGATTATATTTTATCTGCTGGTCCACATTTTTTAAATAAAAATTTTCAATCTTCCACCAAAAGTTAACTCAAACTTAACAAATGGTCTATTAAATAATTATTGCGTTAAAATTTGAGAAACCGTAATTTTTGCATATTGTTAATAGGCTCCTTAATGGCTCAAAAAGCTTTGACATCGTTTAAACACTAATTGTGAAGGTATAACAAGTATTTAAATGGTATTATTATATTGTCCAAATGTGCTATATACAAAAAAAAAATTAAATAAGCATTTAAATTGGATGTGTAACAGAAGAATATCTTACCTCTTCCGCTTCTCCCAACAAACCTAAGATCATTAAATTTAGCTACTTGATTTTTCATAACAGCCGTACAGTTTCTCAATTCCGCACAATAATTTTCATCGTTACCTGCTTTAACAGTCACTACAGTCCCGTCTCCGATATCCCCCAGTGCGACCACTTTAAAAGCCACTGGAAGCGTTTTATTCGACCTCCAATGCGGAGGTAAAACAGTACAAACAAATAAAGGACTTCCGGTCCTTACAAGTTCGCCCGGATGCTCACTTAAGAAATCGTTTAATGTTCTTTCAGCAAGGATATCGCTGGTCATTTTGGTGTATGTTTCTTGGATGAGGCTGGTGGTTCCTTCTGGGGTAGAAGTGGTAACCGAGTTTCCTGTTGGGGTGTTGGTAAGGTGCATGGTTCTGGACGTACAATAACCCAACATCAACAATACACAGCGAGTGTAGAAACCATGTTGAGAAAGGTGATTCGATTGGAGAAGATCATTTTAACAAGGACTAATGCAAGAGACTAAAAATGGTTGTGTTTGCATCGCGCTTCACTAGTAGGTTTAAATACTCTAGTATGAAATAATCAAATCTGTGCGTAGATCCACATGTCAGTCAAAAATTCCATGCCACACGCTCTGACGGTTGCCTAGCAACACATGTCAACACTTTTTCTGAATGAAAACTTTTTTATAGGGGTGGGGAATCGGTATAACGCACTCACATATTAGCCGCCACTTGATCAGGTGTGCGGGATGGAATCCCGCGAACGCGCGCTTATTGTTTTTGCGAGGTGTTTCGCGGAGTTAGGCGAGTTGTATTGTGGCGATCATGTGTTATTAAGATTGGTGCCTACCGCTACCGCTGTGTCTATTTCGCTCGCCGACATTTAAACCAAAACTAAAGATTTAGCCGGTATGTTGTTGATTAACTAACAAAAACGGTCCAGCTCGTACGTCGCATCCAAAAATACATCGAGGGTCGGTGGTTAGAGAAAGACAAGCGACACAAGTGTTGTCTGCCAAAGCAGGAGCCACCGCGCGTTTGATAACCCTTTACTTATCAGGGGAAAGCAGTACACCCCCTGAACGGGCCAGAAAGAGAAGGGAAATAGCTAGATTAAAACAGAAGCTAACATAAAGGGGTACACGTCTGATAGAGAGCAGATAGAGTGTAAGAGAGACCCATCTTGTTTGCGGTCAGAGCGGGTTGGGCCTAGAGACCGTGAAAGACGGTCAGATACAAGTTCGCTCATCGCAGAAAGAGACGGATTCGTGGCGCGGTTTTTTAGCCACAGAGCGCTAGACGCAGGCGTCACGTATGAAGTGAGATGGGCTGTGTGTTGTGCTTTGAACGGATTGTCATATGTTTTGTATTTGGCAACGGGCTGCCGTGATGTGGCTATTATCCTAACGTGATACACCGCTACATCCTTTCCGCGGTAAGCAGGATAAAACGGAGCCGAAGGATTTAAAGCTTTATTTGTACTGGGAAAGTTTGTTTTGTAATTCTTGTGTACACTTTAGCGCGATATCGAGTGTATTATGATGATGTCAGTGAAGATTGATAGGTAAATTTGAATTTGATTCTGAGAAGTTGTTAGATTGTTTGTTCGTTAACAAGGTGGAGTCAGATTGCTTTTATGATTGAATATGCGTGAGAGTGAATGCGTTGATTGTTTTGTACAAGTATAAAATCGGTGTATTGTTTAAAGATTGCTTGTTATTGATAAAAATACTTTACAAATATGCCCTTATTGATTTTTTTTTGGTAATAAATAAGACTGCATATATTGCTGCGTATAATTTTCATCGTTATTCAGTGTTGCAATTTAATTAAATTAAAACAGAATGGAAAGTTAAAATACCTAACATTTTTATAGATAAAAATGAATATATATTTTTAAAAGTTCTTCTAAAAGTATTTAAATACAAAATAAACTTTATTTTCTTACAGTATGATTTCGTATATTGTTTGTGTCGATTATGTTAAATGTTTCCCCATTTTAGCAGTGGATTGCAAGAACTTTCCAACGATAGGTAGGTATGCAGTAAATTAAAGAAATAAATATTTTATAAAAATAAAGTCCAACTATTATTTGGCAAGATATTTATTTTATAAAGTTGACTCCAAGAATGCTGAGAGGTACCAAAATATGGAAAGGGTGGTAAAAATAAAAAAAAAAAATTGAGAAATTAGTTAATAAATAGTTTCTTCTTTTAGTTGAAATTTATTTATATCGTTAAGCTTAAAGTTTGTTAATGTATGTAATTTTATTGAAAATTTCACACCAATCCTTTTTAACTAACAAAATGCGTGTTTTCTCCAGCGTCTCCAGTGGCGGCTCTTGATAATTTAAAAATTTAAAAATAATTTTATCGTGTGTAAGTTCTGTTTAAAACTTTGTACAAGTGCTAATATAGCTGTTTTTTTTTTATTTGGATTTGTATTGTGTAGTTATTATTATCTATATCATGCTGTTTGCAAGCACTATAACTGTTAATGACTAAATGCATATTTTAGCTATTGTAATATTTGTTTTGGTTTAAATACATTGAAAACCATTTGTAAACATTATTAGTTAGCTGACTCCTCTTTATATTTTGAAAATATTTTAAAATATATATGTTATGTAGAAAGCTTGACATTGATTTTTGTGTAAAAAATATTATGTGAAACTTTAATTACCATTTTTCAGTTTTTATTGTAAATTTAATCATTTTCACAATTTGTCAAACATGTCAAATAAAGTATTATATTTTTTAAATACTTTTTATTGGCAAATCAACCAAGTGCACTAAAATGTTTATTTTATAAGATCAGTCGCATCACAATACACAACATTACCCAGATACAAACTAGAATGAAGATATTATTATTATTATACATTCGAAATATAATATTTTGTGTATTTAATACTTTTTCGACGAAATTTCGAAATAAAACATTTTTAAATGCAATAAACACGTGAATTTTCTAATATTACGAGCTTGGATTAATTGTTTTCACATATGAGATCCAACCCAACAAACGATTCCTACCTGAACATTGGCAAATTATTTTGCCAATCAGTAGCGTCGTCTCTGGACACTAACTCAACACTGGAGAGCATCTCCAGAATAACATTTTTGAGAGATATACTACAGGATGAACTCTTAAGTTGATATGCTCATTTCCATAGACAACTCGTCAATGTGGTTCAGCAAGAAACTCCTGTTAACGTCATGCTGATTTTATTTGCATCAAAATGTTGCTACCTACCTGAAGTTCGCGAATGCAGCTATACAAAGTCTTCATAACCCAGTCAACAGTGTGGATGCTGAAAGATATTTCAGTATCTACAATGTCGTCATAAATGACCAAAGGCAAAGGCTTAATTAAGCAAGAAAATATAGAGACAACCACGATGCTAGAACTTTTCTGTAATAAATATTTTGTTATTTTAATGATTATGGTAATAAATACGAGTTTTTAAATATTTTTCGTTTTTTTATGCGAATAAATGCAGAGTTTTGGATTTTTAATTTAAATTTATGCGAAATTTCGGTATTAGTTGCGAAATATACGTAACCCTAATTATTATATATATAATGCATGACATTCTAAATTAAACTGTTCACAGTTTAACAAACCCCCTTAACTATTATTTTCAATCAGATTTTTTTCAAAATCAATAGGCTTCATCCCCTTATTGAGCTTGATTTTTTTTAAAAATTTGTGTTAAGAATATTGGTCGTTTTTAAGTTAATTTTTTTTTTAAATATTTTTACATCCCTTAATCTATTACCTTTATTTAAATTTTTTTCACAATTAGTAGGCCTCATCTCCTTATAGAGCTTGATTTATACTAAAAATTTCATGTTAATATCGCTTTTTATTTTTATTTATGATTTTTTTTTATTTCAGCCTCCCTTAAACCCCTATTTTTAATCACAGGGCCTCTTCTCCTTAGAAAGCTATATGTTTGCAAAATGTTGATATGGATTTTCGTTTTTAATTTAGGATTTTTTTTTTAATTTTAACCTATCTTAACCCCTATTTTTAATCAGATTTTTTTAAATCAATAAGCTTTGTCTACTTATAGAGCTTGTTTTTTGCTTAAAATTTCCAAGTTGATATAATTTTTTGTTTTTGACTTATCGTGCAGACAAAAAAAACGTGACATCGGACAGACAGACAAAGTAAACCTACAATAATCTTTACAGACTACTGTGTGAAGAGTATAATAATAATAATAATAATATAACCAAGTCTAAAACAATAAAATATTAGCATAAAAAAATAGGTATAATAAAAAAAAATTAAAATTATTTAATAGGTAATCAGTACCTCGGAGGTAAACTGCACTGTCATTCTAGTCAACTTTTTAGTTCAGAAGACTGAATGTTGTTTAAACACTTTTATGTTCTTTATTTACATATGTCAATTATATTTCGACAAGAAATGCAGTTAGCCCCAATTAATGTCACAATATGTATTGTTTATTAATAATCTAACTTTTTAATTTTTTTTTTTAATATCCATGAATTGTTAGTTTTGGTAACATATTTCTATGTTTTAATAACAATTTTTCTATGATAGTGTACCATACTTCCAACATGCCTCTATAAATAGTACGACATAGTTTAGTTTACTTCCCAGGTACTTATATCGGTAATATTTAATTAAGTCTTCATAATATAGGTACATACCTAACATATACACAACTATTTAGTTTTTTGAATTAATTTAGAACAATACAATATTTATTTTTTATATCGTTTCTCAATGAAACTGTAATATAAGATTAGCTTCCATTGTTTTTGTAGATGCGTGCGACACCATCAATCGATTAAAATCTTTATCGTTACAACTTCAAATTAATTAGGGATAACCTACAAAATAAAACAATTATTTATATCAAATTTTACTAGGGTCAAGAATTTATTTTTGTTTAAATAAAATATATAATAAAATTGTCACACTTGTGAAATACCTTTCGATACAATGTACAATGATTTTTCTTGGCTGGCAACTAAAATTTAAGATCTGTTTAAAATTAGGTACTTTATATTATTGCCATAAGAGCCCATTTCTTGATAAAACTCAGTCATCGCTTAATTTTGATGGGTTTCTTATAAAAGAGTACAGGTGACATTGTATCCATTTCCGCAAGATTTCTGTTTTAGAATTTGGTATAAAACACATAACTATTTTGTAGAAACTGGAACAAAACAAAATATAAACATAACCTCAAATATAATAGTCAATGTTTTACCTTGAGCTTAAAGACGTGTTTGGTTAACAGTCATTGAATTGACACACATACTTCCGCAGTTTTATTTAAACACGGTTTTTTATTAAACAAAATTAAAACTATTTTATGATGAATTTTAAAGTTTGACAACTTGATTGGAAACATCAAGATAAA